GGTGACATGTCAAATAACTCTTACAACATTAGCTACGCCAGTTTATGTGACAGTAGTGTATGCGAAATGTACCACACGTGAGAGACGATAATTGTGGGATGAATTAAGAGCTTGGGAATCCAACATACAAGGGCCACGGGCTGTTGTAGGTGAATTTAATGTAATTCTCATCACAGAAGAAAATATTAGGAGAAGACCATATAGCCTAAGCAAAAACATCGATTTCATGAACTGCATAAATGATTGTGAGTTGCAGGATGCAGGTTTTTATAGTGCTAAATACACTTGGTGTGACAACAGGGGACCAACCAAAATAATATGAAAAATACTGGACAGACTTCATATAAACTCATGGTAGGCAGATACACTAAATGAAACATTTATCACACATCTAGCAAGATTTTGTTCAGACCATGCACCTCTACTAATCAACATGAAGACATCAGATACTACTAGACCAAGATACTTCAAATTCCTAGATTTTTGGGCAGAGCATGAAGATTTTATCAAATTGGTCTAAGAAGTGTGGCAGGAACATATAAAGGTAACCCTATGTGGATCCTTCATCAGAAATTNTATATAAGGAGCCTAAGAAACTAGAAAAAGAAATTGAGAATCTAGAGGAAGAACTGACACTGAATAACACAGACAAGAGAATGTGAGACCTAAATAAGCTGAAAGCAAACTACTATCAATATTTAAAAATTCAGGATGTAGTCTTGAGACAAAAAGCGAAAGCAAATTGGTTGAAGGATGGAGATAAGAATACTACATACTTTCATGGTGTAATAAAAGGAAGAAGGAAATGACTCAACATTCAGAGAATCAGGATGATAATGGAGAAACGAGAATAGGTGAACAAGATATTGCCACAACAACAATAGAACATTTTCTAGGAATATTTAATCACAATGAAGCGCCAGATGATATGTCTGCATTGGATTGTTTAACACCAAAAGTCACAGAAGAGGACAATGAAATGCTGACAACAATACCTACACTGGAGGAAGTCGAAAATTATGTTTTCTCTATTAGTACAGAAAGTGCCCCAGGCCCGCATGGACTAAATGCCCTTTTCTATGAAAGATGCTGGAAAGTTATTGCGGAAGATGTATACAATGCAGTGGTTTCCTTCTTTCAAAGGGCCTCTGTCTCGAGATTCTTTACTCACACTTGCCTAGTAATGATTCCAAAGGTGGAGTTCCCCCCAAAACTATTAGAACTTAGGCCAATTAGTATGTGTAATGTTTCGAGTAAGATATTTGCAAAGATGTTAAATGCTTGACTGACGCGGATCTTACAAAAAATAGTCTCCAATAATCATCTAGACCAAAGAAAGGAGGGAATGTAGTACTAAAACTTGACATGGCAAAGGCTTACGACATGGTCGACTGGTCTTACCTGTGTAGTCTAATGAAGAAATTGGGGTTCTCTGACAAATAGTTGGAGCTAATACATACACACATTCCGAGCAACTGGTACTCTCTGGTAGCTAAAGGCCAAAGATTTAGGTTCTTTAAATCATATAATGGACTGAGGCAAGGTGAACCTGTCTCACCTTCACTATTTGTATTGAGTGCAGAGCTTCTTTTAGTGATGTTGAATAACCTTCAAAATTGGAGGAGGTACTCAGGTTTCCATATGGAAAGACATAGGCCAAAGGTGAACCGCTTAGCCTCTTTAGATGATATAATTTTATTTACTAGTGGGCGCAGAAGAACCTTGGAGCTGGTTATGAATGTTTTAACCGTGTACGAGAACACTTATGGACAAAAAATAAACAAAAGTAGAAGTCGTTTCATGCTGAAGACCGAGCCTCCTTAAGTGTTATAACCAGGGTAAAGAGTATCACGGGAATGAGATATAAGGAATTCCACACAAAGTACCTGGGCTGCACATTAATTACAGGTAGACAAAAAATCACATATTATTCTGAAATAATAGATAAGGTGACAAGTCGAGTGAAAGGGTGGCAAAATAAGCTACTATCTACAGGAGGGAAGTCAATTCTTATTAGTCAAGTCTTACAAACTATACCTATGCATCTATTAGAAACAGTAAATCCACCCAAAAGGGTCTTCATACAAATAGAGAGAATTCTAGCAAACTTCTTTTGGAGAGGTTCTGACAGAAATGATCGACACCATTGGATATCATGGAAAACTCTGTGTTATCTCTATAAAGAAGGAGGCGTCCAATTCAGAAGTTTAAAAGATATAAATGACTCATTCACAGCCAAAGCATGATGGAATCTAAGAACTAGGGACTCTCTGTGAAAAGATTTTATGATAGTTAAATACTGCAAAAGGACACACCATGTAGTTTATCAATGGAGATTATGGCAATCACGCAGTTGGAACGCTTTGTGTGCAGTTGGTGAGAAGGTGGAACAAAACATTGAATGGTTACCTAGAGGAGGGGGAAATCTCTTTCTGGTATGATAATTGGTCAAAACAAGGTCATTGGTACAAACTATTACCATCAGGAATGAAACCTAAAGATGTCCAATTAAAAGATATCTTAAAAGGAGGCAACTGGAAGTATGATGCAATAATTGAAGATATACCAAACTCAGTCAAGAATATAATGGACCAACACAAAATCAGACTTTACCCAGACCTACCAAATAGAGTGATATGGACATCAAGCTGAACTGGGAGCTTCTCAGTCTCCCCTGCATGGGAAAGTCTCAGACAATGGAAAACTTAAGGAATATTAAACAATATAATATGGAACAAGCATATGCCTTTTTAAAATGACCTTCATAACCTGGAGGGCCTAAAACGATAGAGCTCCAACCGATGAGAAGGTAGCAAGATTTGGTTACAACATCCAAGCTAGATGTTACTGTTGTCAACCTCCATAAATGGAATAAATATAGTGGACCACCTATTCTATTCAGGAATTTTGGCTTAAGAAATCTGGACAAGGTTTGCAGGTCCTTTTGGAATAAAAGTAACAGATGTGCATCTGGGTCTACTAGTAGCCAAATGGTGAAATCATAGAACCTTAAATATAGTGGCAGCTTTCATGATTAAGGTCCTACCAGCCTTGATAATATGGGAATTATGAAAAGCGATATGTGCGTGCAGATATGGAAAAGAAATTCCCTCGGCTCGTAGATCAGAGAGTTTAATATCTTACACTCTCCATGAACTGATCAAACAAAAATTTGGAAGAATAAAGATGCAATCCTCTTGGGGCCAGCTGCAAAAAGTGATTGATCAACCTATTAACAACATGGCATATAGATTGGTTAGATAGCAAAAATCTCCGGCATTGGCTATCAAACTTAATAGTGATAGTAGTTGCATTGATGGTAACTGTGGGATTGGAGGAGTCACTAGAGATAACAATGGAAAATTCATACGAGCTTACTCTATATACATTGGACCAGGCACTAGCAACTTGGCAGAAAGTAAGGCTATGCTCTATGGACTGCAACAATGCTGGCAAAGGGGGCTACACGCTATTGTAGCAGAGACAGACTCCAAACTGATAACCTCATGCGTGAATGAGGGAGCAACAACACCATGGAGAATTATACAAATTGCAGAAGAGATCAAGAGAATTATCATTGAAAGGAATATAACAATGCAACATTGCTACATGGAAGCTAATATAGTTGCGGACAAGTTGGCTACAATCAGTCACACACACTGACAAGAACTTATTTTCACTAGGTATGAGGATCTACCAAAGCAGGTTAGGGGACTTATGCAACTGGACAAGTGGAAACTTGCTTCATTCAGGGTTAGACAAATGAAGGCAGCTAAAATTAATAATGAACCTCCGTAATCAAGATTCAGCAGCACGCAAGCAACCTTACCATTTTAGTTTCATATTTACGCAAACTAGAAATAGTCATGGTAATAGAATAATAGAGTTTAGGCTTATAAACTCTCATGATCTACTAGAGGGTAAGGTATTAAGTCCCCATCCATGTACTCTTTTATGGGAAGGAAATAAAATAGAAGTTGCAATTTATAAAAATAAAAAAAAACTCCTTAAGATCTATCTAATCTATTCCAACAACACACACTCAAAAAAGCAAAAAATTAATTTATTTTGCTATAAATAGCTAATTGTTTAATATTGATAATATTTTATGAATTGACTAATTTTTGTACTAACTTACTTATGGGCTGACATAACTGAAAAATTTCCAACAAAGCTTCTCCCTATAATGGGCTTTATAGGACGAGAATCTTGATTAATCGAATCCGAGATGAATAAAAGTACAAGGTTATTTATTTGTTGAGTGAAATGCCCGTGTCCTTCATTGGGCAATCCAACAAGGAATTATTTGTGATATATTCTTCCGTCTTAATTTTTATTATATTTTTTATTTATTCAAAGTTAGTGTGACTAATTTGTAGAATTTAAATCATATCTAATTATTTTTAATATTGTAAGTATTTAGAAAGAATGTTTTTAAAGGTTAAGTAAGGACATGTCACAGATGATGCAATTTTTAAACACCCCAACATAATCATGAAATATAAAAATCTAGAGGCGAGACATTTGCCCATGTACATATTTGCTTGCTCGTCTCATACCTCACCAAAAATATCATAATATAATATTCCATATAACATGTATCTTTAAATTCTTCAAAGTATTTGACTATAGCTAGTATAATATGTTATCCTATAATTAATAAATTTATGACTTCAAATATATATTTATTATTTATTCTATCATCAATATATATATCTCCGAAATGATTTACAAATATTTTAGACACAATCTTAAAGTTTTTTAAAAAGGCAGCCCGGTGCACTAAGTTTTCGCTATGCGTGGGTATGGGGAAGGGTCGGATCACAAATGTCTATTATACACAGTTTTATCTTATATTTCTGTAAAAGGCTCGAACTCGTGACCTTCTGGTCATATGACATCAACTTTACCAATAACTTTTTAAGATGATAAGAAAATTTCAGAACTTGGAGGGGATAAGGAGAAACTTTTAGAAATTTGAGGGGAAAATGTTTCAGAGATACAGGATTTTAGTTGCAAAAATGGTTAGGTGACTTAACTCGTGAAGAGAGGCAGAGAGCGCGTAATCTGAGCGCGTGCTGATTTCCCTCGAAATTCAAACCTCAGTCACATTGAGTACTCTGTCTGAATTCCGAAATCCCTAAAACCCCTTTTTCCTCCCTCGCAAACCAAACACTCCAACAATACGACGTAGTACAGATCGATCGATGAGGAACATTATATCGATGTGGGAAAATGGACGGCCGTCGGAAAATGGATCCGACAACGGCAAGGATAATGACGATAACAATAAGGAGAAGACGATAGCAAAGGCAGCAGGGTTCGTGGTTTTCTCGGGAATCGCAATGAGCATTCTCAAAGCCGTCAATCCTTTCAATAATCCAAACCTCAATAGTCAAAGCAGTGAGGTAAAGGCAACAGTTTTTGAGTTAGCTCAACTTCAAACTCAGCCTCAAGTGCTTCAACAATGCCAGCCAGAGCCTGAGCCCATTGTCAAGGTTGTTGACTCGTTTGTAATTGCATACGTTTGTTAACTTTTATGTTCAATCATTTGAAGTTTATTTTTATAAATGTGTTTGTTTTGTGGCTCTTTTAGAAACCGAATTGTTGTGCGGAGAAAAGAGCGAAGGAAGCTTCACAAAATGTAATAGAGATTGAGCGGGGAGACACTCTTTGGGGGCTCTCTAGACAATATGGGGTTTGCGTTCGTTTTATTTTCTCTATCTCTATTTATATGACATTCTTTTCATTTTGAGATGTTTCCATATGTTCACCATTCCATTTTTTATGCTTTTTATAATTGTTAAGAATTCAAATTCATTAAGCTATTTAAATTTTAAATTGTGCTGCACTTTTCCGTTGTCAAAATCAATTATTGAACTATTTCTTTAATATTTTTTCCGATATCACTAAATATTATATGAATCAAATTACTAACATTTTAATCTTGCCGTCATATAAAATGTGAAAGATTGAGTATTTTATTAGAATATTGGTTTCTCCTTTATTCCAAAGAAAAAAAAGATGACAAAAATCTTCATTTACCAGTTGATGACATGGTAGCATATTGAATGTATATTTTGGCTTCATAGGTCTCAATTGAGGCAATTAAGGAGGCTAACGGGCTTGAAGGGGACACCATCTATGCTGGCAAGAAACTTGTAATACCCTAATGTGGTCCTTCTCATTGCTTCTTGTTGTTGTATCATTACTTTTCATGTGAGGTTTTTTTTCTTTTTTCTTTTTGTCTATTGGGTAAGCTGTATTAGGGCAGAAACTTTTGTAGTTTGAGACCAACGCTATGGCTGCCATTGGAGATAGGGATGTGAGATTGGTTCTGAGCTATGTAAAATGAGGAAAATCTTAGCTGCTATGATGAACTTGTATCTTGACTCACAATATTTTATCATGTAGAAGAAATGCTTACTTTCCAAATCCTCTTTTGTTTTGTTGCCCTTTATCATGTGTATTATTGTATTTCTCTTTGTTTAGTTGCATCCTCCATGGTATTATATTTGGTAGCAAGTCAAACTTCCAATTTTAATTCTGTTGCAAAAGCAAGAGAAATGCAGTTAGCAATAAGATCATTTTTTTATATATAACAAAAGCAACAAGAAACTGAACAAGCAAAATGTTAACAGAAATGAAAAGTAAAGGGGTTTTGAACCTATCAAAAGAAAATGTAAGGGGTTGTGATCATCAATCACAAGTATTTTCCCAGTGAGGGTGGATGGGATGGAAGAAATTTGGGCGTAAATCTTTCCTAATATATGTAGGATTTAAAGCTTCAAATCTACTGATGTCTTCCGTCTAGGAAAGCCTTCATTGCATTTGTTCTGCTTTACCATTTGATGCATGAACTTATTGAATCTTCACTAATTATAGATTGTAAAAGTTAGCTTTTATGATTTCGTTATATTGGCTCCAAAGTAACTATCCAATAGAATGTTTCACCATATTATCATTTTTTCACTTGACAACAACTATTACAATGTTCTGAGCTTGTAATGGCAAGTTCTGATAGACTACTGCTATGTTGCAGCATAGAAACCTGTCAACATGTGAATATTAGCATTGAAACTAGAGAAACAATGAAAACCTACAATGGACTATGAAGCAAGGGATACGTATCCACTTCACCTCCCACTCTGTAATGGTGGAAGCTCATAAATCTCTCATCATGGAGTGTGAGATCAATCTTGTCCATCAGGTCTTCCCACATGCATGTGCTCTTCTTCCACCATACTGTAGGCTTCTTTCTATTTTTGGTGCAAGTATGGCGCATTTCTTATGCTTGGTATGGTTCTTCCATTTATTAATAATGTCTTGGCTCCTATACTTGTTGTTTTGGCTAGGAATCAATTGAATCTGGCCTNCCCCCCTTCTTCTTACTCACTTAAATTGACAGAAACAGCTCTTCCTGCTCTTTTTCTTAAATTGACAGAAACAGCAAAATGCTGGACGAATACACTGAACTTCCTCTGGTTTGTCAGTTTACTCTAGAATCAGTGGTAGTCTGAAAATGGAACTTACAATTTTGTAGTTTGCCCATATTTAAAATTAACTTCATCTTTTTTTGTCCCTTTTATTTTATTATCTCCTCAAATTGTTATGCAGTTCAAGAATGTAATGAAGTTTAGTTCCATTGAACAAAAAACGTGATAACGGATAAATATTGGAACTTGCCATAGTGCATTGCAAGCTTAGAACCAAAAAATGTGGATAGTGGAGTGGTTCTATGTGATCATACACAAAACTTGAATGTTTCCCTCCCTTCTTTTTTCCTTTCGGAGCTCTTAATTGGGGACCATACTTGGACCAGATTTGAAATTTGTAAACTTGAAAATGAGTACAACAGGGTGGAACATGACCCTCCTTTCAAAATAAGAAGCAAATTATTATTCTCAAAATTCACAAAAAATAAGTGAATTGGGATTGAGTTTCAAGCTTTCCTTGTGAGCTACTCTTGAATTGCTCCATAAGAGAAGGAAGATGTTTATCATTGATGGAATACTTATTTAAAAGAAGTCTATTATTTATGAACTGCTTCAGAGAACCCAGCATAGTTTATGATTTTGCATTCACCTACTCAGTTTTGAAAGGATAAAGAAGCCTAATGCCTAGAATCTTGCATACTATATTCCCTAAGCTACTGACTAGCCTTACTTTCTGGGTTGAGTTTATATATTTTAACATGATTTCATAGGCCCTACTGTTTTTTCGTGCTCCCTTGCAATCATTTTGTATCACAGGTCCTACTTGCAAATTGCAATGGATATTGTCCTCAAGAAGAATTAGGCCTTTTTAGTAAACGTTTTAATTTTTGCATAATTGGCGTTTATGAAGGGAGCCTTGTAGCAACGGTAAAGATGTCTTCGTGTGACCTATAGGTCATGGGTTCGAGCAGTGGTATTATTAGGGTATGATGCTTACATCACACTCCCTTGAGATGCGGCCCTTCCACGGACTCTGCGTAAACGCGGGATGCTTCGTGTACTGGGTTGTCCTTCATAATTGGCGTTTACGCTGTGTAGACCAAAATTCTGGGTTTTGATGGGAGTTTTGCATTTTCTTGTTGATTTAATTCTGTATTTACTATATTATATTCACCCTGCAAAGTCAGAGATCAAATCTGATGTAGCCAACTAAGATGAGGTATCTAAAGTAACTGTGGGTTCTGGCAAAGAAAAGTTAAATCTGACTCACATTAAAACTATATGTTCAAACCAAATCCATTTTCTTATAACTTTTATTCAACTGGTTGATTAGTAAAGTCTATTGTGCAGGAGCTTTTGCATCTTCAATGATGAGGCCAAATGGTTTCTACAATAGAATGTCCTCCTCCTGTTTCATCAACTTGAATTATTATCCCTCTGCAGCCATTTCATTCACACACTACCACAAAGCTTTTCCAGATTCTTGAAATCAACTAGTACATAGGACCTTGTACTAGCATGTGAAAACAATCAAAAGTTCTCACTTTTTTGCTCCTTTTCTGTTTCTTTATCTCATTCATTTTTTTCTTTCTTATTGTGATTAATCGTGTATAGAAACGTGGTGATTCTGTTTCAACCACAGCTTCTAAAGCATGCCACCTAATACAATCTTTAAAGGTAATCAAGAATATCTTATTAACATCATCATCATAGGCTTTATGAGCTAAAAGAATGTTTCCCTATATCCCTAGTGATCTTCACAGGTTCATTAATCTTGAGACATAATCATGATTAGTAAGACCCACTTTCTAATTACATAAATGATTTTCTCTTAACATCTCTCCTTCAAATCAGAGCTCCGTGTCACTGCTCAAAGAATGCAGAACTCTAAGGCAGCAGCGAAGAAGCAGAAGGTTCAACTTAGGGGATGCAGTGCCTTGTGCTGCAGTTGTAGGCTGAGTGTTTCGTCGTCTTCAGAAGAAGCTGAAAGTTCCAATTCTGATAGATATCCAACCATTTCAAGCCTAACACATGCCATGGTGCAAGAAAGGTTAGATAAGATGATTAGAGAAAGAGAAGAGGCTAAAAATGAAGAGAGGAGGAAGGCGCGAGATGAAAAGACCAAGTTTATAGTGATGATAGCAATGGAGAAATCTTCTTACGATCCAAGAGAGGATTTTAGGGAGTCCATTGAGCAGATGATAATAGCAAATAGGATTCATGATACGAAGGATTTAAGGCGACTTTTGAATTATTATGTTTCTATGAATGCAGAGGAATATCGTGCTATTATATTCGAGGTGTTCCATCAAGTTTGCACCAATTTCTTTTTATCATGTAAACACCATTCATATCGTCAAGTATAAAACTTCGGTTTTCCTTCAATTCCAAGTTTGCAGCGTTGTCTTACGTTTTCTTTATTTCGATAGTAGCATAATATAATAAGTACAAATTTCAGAAGTGATCTTGTGAAGTTACTGTGAATACACACTGTATTATTCTATTCTTCCGAAATTTTATCAGCGCCAAGCAAGAAGTTATAGGTCCATTGCAATTGTGAGCGAGTCATGAATGAGAGTGCATCCTCATACCAAGCTGTTTACATTGCGATAGAGATGATCAAGTGGATGAGAGACGCCATTTGAATATTTGATGATGCAGTAACTTCTCACGTAGTCACTCTTCTTTAAGTTCTTAAGGATAGTCATGCTACTTATGGCTACACAGGCAACAAATATTGCAGTGAGTTGTGTGAAGTATACAGTGCAGATACAGATTTAGAAACAAAACCATCTCCAACACCGTCTCCAGATGCAGCTGTCAAGTAACTGCTTCATCAGCACACGATCAGAATCTCTAGATCCAGCATAGTTAAAGACCAGTTACAGTAAAACACTAATAACATACTGGTAGATTGCAACAAAAGAACATGACCACAAAAATGGATTGAATTCATCTGATGCCAAAATGAGAACTAACACATCCTCGTACACCAACTAATAAAAACTTTCCAAAACTTTCCTCTAGGAGTAATGTAGATGTCTGTCTACAAAATACATAAACATAAACTTGCTAGGAGACAAACTGATCAAGAAGCCGGCTCTCAGCTTATCACTGAATGTTTGAGGACTTGTTAAGAATAACACCTTCATATTTAACCTGGAACCACTTCATTGCGTCCTCCTTTGTGACCCTGTGCTGGATCCCAACTCGAGACTTGCACCTACGACGACGAGCAACACGGTATCCAGGGCGCTCCAATACAACGTAGAAATCCATACCATAAATACCAGTTGAAGGGTCATATCTGTGAAACAGACAAGAAAAAACAGAATGATACAGCTTAGAAACGATTTATATATATATAATTTAAAAAGCTACACACAAGGAAATTCCAGCAAAAAATTTAAGGCAATTCGTGTTATGAACAAGGAATACCATCAACAGACTAATGTTGGAAGCAGCTAATTTTGTTGATTATGAAGCTAAAAACAGGAAAGATACTTAGATGACAATTTGCTTACTTGATTCCAAGATCAATGTGCTCCTGAATACCAAACCCAAAACAGCCGGTTTCACTGAAGTTCCTTCTCAACAATTCATATTCCTTAACTTTCAATCCACTCTCAAGTAGCTGCATAGCTTTTTCCCCTCTGACAGTCACATAGCAAGCTATCTTTTCATTACGCCTGATTCCGAAGGACCTCACAGTGTACCTTGCTGTTAATGAGAACCATGCAAGCATGTGTGAGAAATTAAATATCATCTTCAAACAGGTAGATCAAGATAAATACAAAAATCAGTTAAATGTCCACAAACAAAACAGTGGATATTCCATTCACCAGCCATATCACACATGCCAATGCACAAATAAAAGCAGGAAGCAAGTTAAGCTAACCATAACTCGTGAATAACATGGTCATCAAATTTCTACAATCTTATATTGTGAGTAAGGCTGGCTTGGATCAACATCTAGCAAAAATACTAGCATATCTATGTTGCCTAAAAGAACAAAAATTCAGTGCTATTACAAGAACGTGCAACTAACATAGCTAGTTGCTTGAGGTTTTCATTCATCACAAATAAGGGCCTTCCATATACAGGTAGACAAAAAGACAAGTTACTCCTCGCAACCTTTCATTGAAACTGTAATTAATCAATCAATCAATCAACCAGGCCTTAATACCAAAACTATAATCAACTAGGCCTCAATCCCAAAACTAACTGGGGTCTTCTATACAAGTCCTCTGTATCTATCCAGCTCTATTCGCGCCAACACATAAACTGCAACTAATTATATATTAAGGCCAAATATTACAAATGCAATATGTTAACCAATCACCTTGAAAGTATACATAGGCCTCATTTCATTCATTAGACAAATGTTCATAGTGCAGGTCTAATATTTCCTGACAATGTCCTTAATACAAAGGTGCCGATTATTATATTTAAAAGCACATAATATTCAAAGTCTTACCCTTGGAGAAAACAGGTGATTGACCACTAAGTTGCTCCAACACCTTAAGTATCAAAATAAAAATAGATCCAATTTTAGGATCAATATCAATAGAATGGAATATAATAAATTCAGGGTGATGTTGTGAAAAGGGGCTGAACCTTTGCAGCTCTGGTGAGTCGATCTCCACTCTCACCAACGGAGATGTTGAGGACAAGCTTCTGAACCTTGATTTCCCTCATGGGATTGCTCAGTTTCTTCTCTGAAGCCTGCTCTCATTTTACACAACAAGAAATGCTTAAGTTATTGGCGTATACATAAGATAAACATGAATACACACTGAATGGAAATCGCAGAGAGATACCATGGCGTTTCTGCTGGAAGATGTTGCAGCTGCAGGGAGAGTTGTACGGTACTACTGATGGCGCGAAGAAGATCCAAAAAAGAAAACCCTAAACCTATCTAATTTTTGACGTGGGCCGCAACTTGTATTGCTCCCGAGAAGTGTGAAGTGCACAAATAACCCGTCCCCTATTTAAAACATAGCCGAAATTTACAAAGTTTTTAAATGTTTAGCCACTTTAGAATCAACTTCAAATATGCTGTTCTGAAATGAAAATCGAGGTTTGAAGATTTTAAAGTTAAATTCTCTGAGAAAATCTAAGATCCGAAGTTTGAATAAGTTTAAATTCAGATATAAGGTCTGAAGTTAGGTTTAGGAAAATCCAACTCTAGGCTCGAAGGTCTATATTTGAACTTTGACTTATTAAACTTTAAATTTTCACTAAGGTTCTGAACGAGTCTAATTACGAGTATGATGATTTCAAGAAGAAAAAGAAATAGCTTTAAATTATTTTTAATAACTTCATATATTTTAAAATAGGAGTGTTACTAGTGGCTATATAGTGTCATCTCTACTTCTCACATCTGTCAATTTTTAGTAAGTGGAGTGGATGTTTAGTTTTTGGATTGTTTATTAATATTTAGTTAATCTTTTGAAGTTTAATTAAAAATAGATATTTTTAAGATGGAAGTAAAACTTAGATAAAAAATATTTCCAACTAAAACACGAAAAAAATTCAGGATTGTGTGTTGGAGTTAGAAACTCTCCACTTCAGCGCGTTCTACTGTAGTTTAGAAATTTTACAAGTGAAACTTTAACACATTTGATGAATTATAATTCCCTACACATGGAATCCAACGCAGTATAGTAGAGTTTCATGCTTTCATGTGTTAAGCTCCAACATACTCTATTGGAGTGGAACACAAACTATCTTGGAACTCCAAGATAGTGTCTTGGAATTTAACTTTATTTAAGTACCACTCGTAAAATCACCCCATTGTAGTTTTTTTGTACATTACAAACTAAAATTATCCCATAATGAAATATATATACATGAATGCTGAGAGTGTTTTGGAATTCAAACTTCTACACCACAAACATTAATGTCATGACCAAGTTCATGGTACGTATTATTCGCTTTGGGCGTAGGCTTGCACGAATTTGTCTTTCGGGCTACCACATTAAGCTCGAAAAGCGCGCTTGCCTTGTGAACTTACGTCATGTTTTATAAAGCTCTTCACTTTCCTCTTCTATTCCGATGTGAGATTCACCTTAACATAACATATGCACCCCTTTTTCAGAAGCTTGTAGTCTAGAAGCCTGTCAATCATGCTTGACCCACCCTCAGCGCTCCGCCCTCCGTCACATGCATCACAATTATTGTGAAGTTTGAGATGTTTGAGCACAATTTTTTCAAACGCGGACAAAAATTAAACAAGACACCAGAATAGCCTATTTGTGTAAAAACTCCCAATATGTCACAAGAGATGGCCCAATAGACAACAATGCGGCCCAGCCCAATTACAAAAACGCAAAGCTGCCATGATTACCCAAATCCAGAATCCAAACGACGTTTGCCGTGGTAGCCGTCGAAGTGTCGTTTGAAGTTTCCCGGTAGTCTTTGCTACCGGCACCAACTTGAGATTGGGTCATTAATTATCCGAACGCATTCTTCCTTCTCCGTCGAAACGAGCTCGTCTAATCCAAAGGTGTTTACTCTTTCCAGTTATGGATTCTTCTGGATAATTGATTTTCATGACGGTCAAGTTTTGTTATTCAGAAACTAGTTTCCCTTAAAAAAGAATTTGCCTTGACTTGAAATATGAAAAATGAAGATGTTGCAGCTGCAGGGAGAGTTGTAGGGTACTACTGATGGCGCGAAGAAGATCCAAAAAGAAAACCCTAAACCTATCTAATTTTTGACGTGGGCCGCAACTTGTATTGCTCCCGGGAAGGGTGAAGTGCGCAAATAACCCGTCCCTTATTTAAAACATAGCCGAAATTTACAGAGTTTTTAAATGTTTAGCCACTTTAGAATCAACTTCAAATATGCGGTTCTGAAATGACAATCGAGGTTTGAAGATTTTAAAGTTAAATTCTCTGGGAAAATCTAAGATCCGAAGTTTGAATAAGTTTAAATTCAGATATAAGGTCTGAAGTTAGGTTTAAATTCGTGTGTGTTTATGTGCTGCCCTAGATTTATTCCTATTAATTTTGCAAGGTGAGAAGTAAAATGAAGTACTTGTTGTTTTAATTTGACACTTACTTTTATGAACTATTCAAAGCATTTCTATTATTGATACTATTCCATTCTAATTCTAGATTTCATTTGCCTTTAAATCTTTTATCAATAGTAAATAAAACAAGTTGGTATTGCTTGACTAGTAGCTTTTGCAATTTCATATTTGGGTAAAATAAGTTACTATTTCATGATTGTTTCTGCTAATTGAGTATCCTTCAATCTATGTTGCTCGTACTTTTAAAAAATGTTGTGTGGTACGTGTCAACACATCCTCCAAAAATAGTGCAAATTTTGGAGCATACGACACGGGTGCGACAACATTTTTGGAGAGCCCAATCAACATAGCC